GGGGTAATCACAAATATTATTGCAAAATGATGAGATAGAACTGCAGAAACAGACGAACGAAGCAAACAGAGGCAGTCGGTACATTTCAAGTTTTACTCGTTTCAATTTTACTCAGCAAAAAACAACCCCTAGTGTATCAGCACAAGTTGCAAGTGCACATTTCATTCCATTAAGCTCCCTCCTGAATTTACTTCACCAAACTCCCTTCGTTCCATCAATCTTACAATGAGCGAATGCAGCAAACCGACGGAACATTACACGCAAATTACAACGGAAAATACTGCTCGTTCATACACTTCACATTCTCTGATGTTATTCACCACTCACTTAAATCATCTACTCTTCTGACTCACAGCATTTTCATACGTAAGGAATTTTACATTCCTTTCAAGCATCACATGGAATGATAGGCAAAAGGGTATTCTGGAAGAGTTCTTCAAGGCAAAAATGTTTTTTTTTTTGGATTTATCCGATTATTGGCTATCACCAGATGAGAAACAATCGGGTTCCAATAAAACAACTCGGATTACGTGACAGATGTTTAAGCGCAAATCCATTCAATCATATCACTGTCACTCGAAATCGCAGTGAACGTCGGCGCTGCAGTTCTGAGGGTAAATGAGAACGAAGTGATAAATGTCTATAGGTGTTGAGAACGAACCGTTGGGGAGGAAGATGTAAGCACAGTGGGTACAGAACGGGCACGAACTGAGTTTACAAAATTACATAGATGAATGCCGTCCGCAAGAGATGTAGCCAGTTGATCACGTTCATGTGGCAAGCTCACATTCAGTCGCTGTTCCAAAACCTTCAAGAATTAACCTTGCAGAACAAACCTTCAATTGATGATTTAAACCGAAGTTAATTTATAATCTTGCTTATGATCATTTTGAGACATTTAGATATCATCGTTTACACATCAATTCCTCAACGCAATGTGATGATATCTCAGTGCTATCATTCAAAAAAATTGAGTGAAAAACGACAGATGAGACATAAAAAAGATAACACAGAACTCTTCTTACCTTGCGCATATTATCGATTACGCCAGAAGTGTTATGAGTAATACTGGTTGGTATGGTGCTATGTGAAGATGTGGTCGTTTTTGTTGGATCGCTTGCATGCATGATCCGCTTCTTATCGGGAAATGCTGCAGTGGAATTTGTGGCTTTCGTCCGATTTGCATTTCCATTCAAATGATTCCGAGCCAAACCCAGACTATCACGAGTTTTTGATAGTTTGTTTGTTGTTTCTGAAAAAAATAATTCTACCATCAGATTATGCAAAACAAAACTGTTTCCTCAATGCTTAATGTAATTCACGATATTCATCCAGTAGATGAATGTCCCTCAAAACAGACATGAAATAACTTTTCACTGTTAGTTAAAGCAAAAATGCACTCGTTAACAACGAATCGTATCGTTCGTTCAATTTTATTACATCCAATTCACAATAAATCTAATCAACTTTCTTTTATGTGTTTGCGCGTACGCAAAACTGACAACCGAACAACCGATTTTACACTATTCCTTTACACTTTTGTTGTACAGAAAGGTCAATGGCAGTAATTGCAGAGTGGAGAACTTTTAAAATGCTTTATTTTGCATTCTATTTTTGCACCTCAAAAAATTTCTAATAGTCAAAGGAAAAATTTTTGGTCTTATTGTTAGGCTTTTTATAATACAATTGAACATTGAATCAATCATTAATCGAGGTGAGATCGATTACTTGACGTGACTGAAAGATGTGAGGTGGTTGTTGTGGCTGCCGAACGTGCCGTCGTTGAATGCACGCCAGCAGTTGGCCTTTTCAGTGCCGGAATAGTCCGTGATGAAGCTAGACTAGAACGAGAACTGTTCAACGAAGACGATCCCCGCGAACTACTGCCCGAAGTACGTGTCGATTGTGCCGTCGGTACCTGTGAAATTGAGAACTCATGAACAACTCGCATTGTTTTTCATAAACACCCCACGTAGAAGAGTACGAG